AGCAGCTCTTCCAAGCCAGTTCCACTCCTGCCCCCCCCTTTTTCCCGAAAAAGATTAATTTTCCCCCGGCGGTCCCCCTCCCCCCCGGCGGTCCCCCCCCCCCCCCCCCCCCCCCCCCCAAAAAAAAAGAAAAATCCTACACAGCCCCCTCAACTCCCTCCCGCCATGGCCATGGCAATACTATCTACAAAATCCTACTCTGAACCCAACCTATCCACCTAGCTCCCTATCAACCTATCTTTACAAAGCCACAGCAGTGTAGGTAGGGGTCCTTTAAAGGGGGAAGGGGTGACAGAAGTAGAATTGGGTGGGAACAGCTGCCTAATGATTTTGTGCTTGAGTGTTGGAAGTGAATTTTGCATTCTAGCTTGTTCTTTGCAGCTTGTTGGTGCTGCACTGCCATTACTGTTTCAACGAGGCTGCAAAATGTATACTCAAAAATGGATCAAACAAACTCTACCAGCTGTTTATTTGACCTACCTGCTGTGGTAGACTTACTGATAACACCAGCATCTTCTTGCGAAAAGTCCGATGAATGACAGTAAACTGAAAAACAATTTCAATGTTAAATCAGTTTGAATTACTAAATTTTGAGTTAAAACACATTCATGTTGGAGCATCTAAATTATTTGATACGTGATTATTTAAATAAGTAGTCAAACATGCTGCATGTGACACAGAAAGAAAGTTTTGTTCTTCAAGGAAATGTATAAACCTTACATTGAGTCCACCTTTTAATCAATCTTGAAATGACACTGAGGCAAACATCTTCTCCCTTGAATTACATCCATCACAAGCAACATTTGTCTTTTGCAGGAGCCATTGGACAGGTCCAGGGTTGAGAGAAACATGAACGTAAAAACAAAACTTTCAAGTTTACCTAGCTTTGGGTGTTCTAATTGGGGGGGTTCAACGTCTAAATAGGCCAAGGCATCTTTCAAAAACAAATACCTTCTAGGGCTGATCATCCTACACTTCTGGTTTCTCGTTACAGTGGATATGGACCATCTTCTGGTCTTGTAGGCGATCAACCGGTGCTACAGGCAGTCCTGGTGATGAAAACAATGTGTCAAAGAATAATTGATTGAGTACAATATGTCAAAGATTGATTGAATGGTTGAGTATGTCTTTTACGGCACTGTCGTGTGTCCAAGAAAATCCAACATCTCGTGTGTTATTTAGTATCATAGTATAAAAACATTCTATATTCTGCCGTCAATAAAGAAAATCCAGAAATTTGAAATTTCCTTATTGCTCAATTCGATAAATTAATGCTTATGAAAAGTGTTCAACTTACGTTTGTTTTTGTTTTTTTAGTGTGGAAGTTTTTTTACACCCTCATCAACACAATTTTTATGACTTAGGGTGTAGATATCCGACATTTCACGGTGAAACCTGACTCATCGATGGATATTCTAATGTTATAGACATCATGACTTGAATAATGTCCTAATAAGAATGGAATTTAAGCCTCAGTGAATAGTGTTGCTAGACATACAATGACAAATACCTTTTAATGCTGATCATCATTCATCCCTTCTCGTTTCTTGGCATTCTCGATATAAACGGCCCGTTTGTCGTGTCCTCGGTCTAATGGGCCCTCCAGGATCGCTTTGATGAAAGAAAAAAAAATGAACGTTTCTCACGCACCAAATAATATTTTTAAAGTTATTACATAAATGATATGTTACTTAAATTCTTAAGTCAATGAGAAGAATTACAAGAAATATTACTTCAAAGACAATTACCTTCTCAGGCTGCCCATCATCACTTCGAATTTGCGGTCTTCCAGTCACATAGGAGGTCCTTCGTACAGGCTGTCCTGTCCTACTAGTGGTATCAGAACACCTACCACAGGATGGTCAAAAGCCAAAGAAACAGCTGGCAGTGTTTGTTTGATCCACTGAGTATACATTTTACAACACCACTAATTCTGAGAGTGCCGCACCAACACGCCGCAAAGAACAATCCAGTGTGCAAAAGTCACTTCAACACAAAGCTGAAAATCAGCAGCAGCTCTTTCCAGCCAGTTCCACTCCTGCCACCCCCTTCCCCCTGGAAAGACTCAATCTACCCATGCCACCCAACTCACACTCCCCCCCCCCTCCCCCCAAAAAAATTCCAACACTGCCCCCTCAACTCCCTCCTGCCATGGCCATGGCAATACTATCTACAAAATCCTACTCTGAACCCAACCTATCCACCTAGCTCCCTATCAACCTATCTTTACAAAGCCACAGCAGTGTAGGTAAGAGTCCTTTAAAGGGGGAAGGGGTGACAGAAGTAGAATTGGGTGGGAAGAGCTGCCTAATGATTTTGTGCTTGAGTGTTGGAAGTGAATTTTGCATACTAGCTTGTTCTTTGCAGCTTGTTGGTGCTGCACTGCCATTACTGTTACAACGAGCCTGCAAAATGTATACTCAAAAATGGATCAAACAAACTCTACCAGCTGGTTATTTTACCTTCTACCTGCTGTGGTAGACTTACTGATAACACCAGCACCTTCTTGCGGAAAGTCCGATGAGTGACAGTAAACTGAAAAACAATTTCAATGTTAAATCAGTTTGAATTACTAAATTTTGAGTTAAAACACATTCATATTGGAGCTTCTAAATTATTTGATACGTGATTATTTAAATATGTAGTCAAACATGCTGCATGTGACACAGAAAAAAAGTTTTGTTCTTCAAGGAAATGTATAAACCTTACATTGAGTCCACCTTTTAATCAATCTTGAAATGACACTGAAGCAAACATCTTCAATTGTTTCCCTTCGAATTACACCCATTACAACATTTGTCTTTTTGCAGGAGCCATTGGACAGGTCCAGGGTTGAGAGAAACATGAACGTAAAAATAAAACGTTCAAGTTTACCTAGCTTTGGGTGTTCAAATTGGGGGTTTTTTCAACGTCTAAATAGGCCAAGGCATCTTTCAAAGACAAATACCTTCTAGGGCTGATCATCCTACACTTCTGGTTTCTCGATACAGTGGATATGGACCATCTTCTGGTCTTGTAGGCGATCAACCGGTGCTGCAGGCAGTCCTGGTGATGAAAACAATGTGTCAAAGAATAATTGATTGAGTACAATATGTCAAAGATTGATTGAATGGTTGAGTATGTGTTTACGGCACTGTCGTGTGTCCAAGAAAATCCAACATCTCGTGTTTTATTTAGTATCATAGTATAAAAACATTCTAAATTCTGCCGTCAATAAAGAAAATCCAGAAATTTGAAATTTCCTTATTGCTCAATTAGATAAATTAATGTTTATGAAAAGTGTTCAACTTAAGTTTGTTATTTTTTTTTTCGTGTGGAAGTTTTTTACACCCTCATCAACACAATTTAGATCACTTTGGGTGCAGATATCCGAAATTTCACGGTGAAACCTTACTCATCGATGGATATTCTAATGTTATAGACATCATGAGTTGAATAATGTCCTAATAATAATGGAACTTAAGCCTCAGTGAATAGTGTTGTTAGACATACAATGACAAATACCTTTTAATACTGATGATCATTCATCCCTTCTCGTTTCTTGGCATTCTCGATATAAACGGCCCGTTTGTTGTGTCCTCGGTCTAATGGGCCCTGCAGGACCGTTTTGATGAAAGGGGAAAAAATGAACGTTTCTCACGCACCAAATAATATTTTTTAAGTTATTACATAAATGATATGTTACTTAAATTCTTAAGTCAATGAGCAGAATTACAAGAAATATTACTTCAAAGACAATTACCTTCTCAGGCTGCCCATCATCACTTCGTATTTGCGGTCTTCCAGTCATATAGGAGGTCCTTCGTACAGGCTGTCCTGTCCTGCTAGTGGTATCAGAACACCTACCACAGGATGGTCAAAAGCCAAAGAAACAGCTGGCAGTGTTTGTTTGATCCACTGAGTATACATTTTACAACACCATTAATTCTGAGAGTGCCGCACCAACACGCCGCAAAGAACAATCCAGTGTGCAAAAGTCACTTCAACACTAAGCTGAAAATCAGCAAGCAGCTCTTTCCAGCCAGTTCCACTCCTGCCACCCCCTTCCCCCTGAAAAGACTCAATCTACCCCTGCCGTCCCACTCATCCCCCCCCCCCCCAAAAATATATTTAAAAATCCTGCACTGCCCCCTCAACTCCCTCCCGCCATGGCCATGGCAATACTATCTACAAAATCCTACTCTGAACCCAACCTATCCACCTAGCTCCCTATCAACCTATCTTTACAAGGCCACAGCAGTGTAGATAAAAGTCATTTAAAGGGGGAAGGGGTGACAGAAGTAGAATTGGGTGGGAAGAGCTGCCTAATGAATTTGTGCTTGAGTGTTGGGAGTGAATTTTGCATACTAGCTTGTTCTTTGCAGTTGTTGGTGCTGCACTGCCATTACTGTTACAACGAGGCTGCAAAATGTATACTCAAAAATGGATCAAACAAACTCTACCAGCTGTTTATTTTACCTTCTACCTGCTGTGGTAGACTTACTGATAACACCAGCACCTTCTTGCGAAAAGTCCGATGAATGACAGTAAACTGAAAAACAATTTCAATGTTAAATCAGTTTGAATTACTAAATTTTGAGTTAAGGCACATTCATGTTGGAGCATCTAAATTATTTGATACGTGATTATTTAAATAAGTAAAACATGCTGCATGTGACACAGACAGAAAGTTTTGTTCTTCAAGGAAATGTATAAACCTTACATTGAGTCCATCTTTTAATCAATCTTGAAATGACACTGAAGCAAACATCTTCAATTGTTTCCCTTTGAATGACATCCATTACAAGCAACATTTGTCTTTTTGCAGGAGCCATTGGACAGGTCCAGGGTTGAGAGAAACATGAATGTTTAAAACAAAACTTTCAAGTTTACCTAGCTTTGGGTGTTCAAATTGGGGGGTTTTCAACGTCTAAATAGGCCAAGGCATCTTTCAAAGACAAATACCTTCTAGGGCTGATCATCCTACACTTCTGGTTACTCGATACAGTGGATATGGACCATCTTCTGGTCTTGTAGGCGATCAACCGGTGCTGCAGGCAGTCCAGGTGATGAAAACAATGTGTCAAAGAATAATTGATTGAGTACAATATGTCAAAGATTGATTGAATGGTTGAGTATGTGTTTTACGGCACTGTCGTGTGTCCAAGAAAATCCAACATCTCGTGTTATATTTAGTATCATAGTATAAAAACATTCTAAATTCTGCCGTCAATAAAGAAAATCCAGAAATTTGAAATTTCCTTATTGCTCAATTAGATAAATTATAATGTTTATGAAAAGTGTTCAACTTAAGTTTGTTTTGGTTTTTTTTCGTGTGGAAGTTTTTTACACCCTCATCAACACAATTTAGATCACTTTGGGTGCAGATATCCGAAATTTCACGGTGAAACCTTACTCATCGATGGATATTCTAATGTTATAGACATCATGAGTTGAATAATGTCCTAATAATAATGGAACTTAAGCCTCAGTGAATAGTGTTGTTAGACATACAATGACAAATACCTTTTAATACTGATGATCATTCATCCCTTCTCGTTTCTTGGCATTCTCGATATAAACGGCCCGTTTGTCGTGTCCTCGGTCTAATGGGCCCTGCAGGATCGTTTTGATGAAAGAAAAAAAAATGAACGTTTCTCACGCACCAAATAATATTTTTAAAGTTATTACATAAATTATATGTTACTTAAATTCTTAAGTCAATGAGAAGAATTACAAGAAATATTACTTCAAAGACAATTACCTTCTCAGGCTGCCCATCATCACTTCGTATTTGGGGTCTTCCGGTCATATAGGAGGTCCTTCGTACAGGCTGTCCTGTCCTACTAGTGGTATCAGAACACTTACCACAGGATGGTCAAAAGCCAAAGAAACAGCTGGCAGTGTTTGTTTGATCCACTGAGTATACA